TTTGAGGTAGAAGGAGACGTAATTTTCTTGTAAATAAGTAAAAGAATGAGTGTGTTTATGCATGGAGTTTGTGAAATATATTTGGGTTCAATAGGACATTGAAATTAATTGATAAAATTCGTACTACTGAGGTAGTGTTTTCCGCAAAGTGTAGGTTTTATAGGCAACCGGAAATAATTTCCCTGGCATCCTACAGTAACTAAATTACTGTGGGATTATGCTGCACGGTAATGCATACTTTAAGTCGACCTACGTAATCTTTTTGAATCGAAACCGGATTTCGGAATTTCGCAAACATTTCATGAGTTTGCACATTTGCAGTACCTCACGCGGAGAAAGTTAGGAATGTGGGTGGACTATTGAACAGAAAACCTCTTTATTATAATGCCATTGACAGATTACGTACATGAAGTCACTAACAAGGCCACCATAACAAGCTATGCCATTGATAGTAAAATGTTTTGCCTAGGTACTGCTGTGTGGTCTGTTATGGAAGTAAATCGCGAGTACGTTGAAGAGTATTTCAAAGCATGCATCGTCATTTGTAATTACTCGACGCACCCACAGGTGTGTAGGCCAGCGTGTCTTATGCAGGCAGTCAATATGTTACCCAGAACGCGTTTTGAGTGCAATCTAATGGGAAAACGGCTTGTGCATATTGATAGACCGTGCGAAAAGCGACAATTGGGGCCAAACCCAATGCATAGAACTACCACCGCAAATGAGGCCTAAGGGAAACGGGGTGCAGTAAGTGAGAACAACGATTAAAATAAAGCAGAAGCGCAGACAAAAAAGGAAAGAGTGGACGGCTTGTAGAGGAGATGCCGTGTCAGAAAGCAGTGTCCAGCGCAATCAGATATGCTAGTAGTCCTGCTGCAAAGCTCATCGCTCTCGAACACTGCAATTGTCCAGATCATCCAGACTACGCAAGTACGATCAGTGACAGTATTTCGTCATCATACCCATAGAAGCCATCGCCTGCCGGTAAGCTAAATAAATAACAAATAAATAACTTTGCTGAAAGACCCTTGGGGTTCCCGTCATAGCAGGTATATATAAATTTCCAAGTAAATTTTAGAGCAATTAAATAGATCCTGTACATTATTCTAATTTTGGTTTTAGAATAAGTAGACACTGTTATGTCAATACATGTAACCCACAGTTAGAACGTGTATACAACTGACAAGCGAATAATGTTTCATATGAACATATCAGCGTATCAGAAAAGTCAGGCAAACACTAGCGCAAAACTATACTTTTTTTCTGCATGTTTTACGGTTGATGAATGGATCAGGAAACCAAACCGGCAAACACCAACATGTGCAACAAAGGTCAGAACACAAGCGCATAAAAAGGTATGTACGGTCGCCGGCAGTAAGTAAGTACTTTCAAGAAAAGCGTATCATCGCGCACCAAATGAATTGCATCTGTGGCAAACCAGTGCATTTCAAAACCTTTCGTAAGCCAATTGATGGTGTGGCATTTCGCTAACCCAAATGCCGAAAACCGAAATCCATAAGCAATCGATCTATCGGCAATACTAAGAATTATACAAGACTTCGTTTGGGACACGCCGATGGCAGAATGTGCAGGTAACATAGGCATATCGCGTACAACAGGAGTCTTATGATACGCCGTGTGCAGAAATGTGTGCTCCAATGGCTTTCGACGAGGAATTACCCAAGTAGGTAGTGAGAGCGTAGAGGTCCAGATGAAAGAAACTTTGGTTAGGCAAAGAAAATAAAACGTCTGACGCTGAAAATGGCAGGGCTATTTGATCGCTCTTTACAATACTGACCGTAAAAGAGCCGGTTTTGAGCAAGTTGATAACAGGAGTGCGGCTTCACTCACTAAAATCATCAGGAAATGGGTTGTACCTGGATGAGTTAAAGGTTGATGTCGTGCCAATTGAAATCCCTGCAGCCCTCCATTTTTATTGTTTAAAATCCTGGTTGAGTGTTTGTTGTGGAGCAGAGGGTGTGGTGGTACACCAAGGTGTGGGTTTTCTCCCTGTCATCCACCTGTGGCCCCTCCCACCTCCGGCCTTCTTGATTTTGCCATGACACCTGGTTCAGGTGGGGAAGAAAATACAGTGCGGTAAATTCTGCACATGTCTAATATTATTATAAACTAGTGAACGCGCAATTCATCGTTCCTGCTCTCACCTTGTTGCAGAGTGCACAGTGGGCACCGTCGAAATTGACGGTCGAGCGGTCACCTCAGCATATGTGACGTCATATGGCCGGGTACCTCCGTCCCTGTACTGTCGTGCAACAGCCATTTAACCGCGCCGATGAACCATGAGCGACCGTACTGCTGCCGCGTTGATCCCCGCCACGATACCGCGCCCATCCCTGTAGTTTTTCACCACTGTCACGATGAACATAAGATTTTATGTGAGAATATGCATCACTCGATCGTGCGTTATTTGTCGTTAGTGTCGTAAAATATAAAATGTGATTATATAAATATGCATTAGTATTCCGGTGTGCGTCGAATGTTGTGCATCTTGTTGGGGATGTGGAAGTATCCAGTCAGGGGACACACCCTGCAGGATGTAGTAGGTCGTATCATGTACATCGACCATGGATTGGCTGCTTCGAATAGCCTTTAACTGGCACCCAAATATCGTCTGCTGTTCACCGAAACTAAGCTCGGCCCAACGGCTACGTCCCGACAACCGCATCGACCGGTAGACAAAACCAGATGAGGGTATTCGGTGTTGCGTGCGTCCAAACACGACAAATCTACCCTCTTCATCCCACTTTCAAAAAGTCCTACGGGAGGGCTACATGAAATCCCACGGACGGCCCAGGATAACTCAAGTCGCCCACCTGCCCAACAGAATCGTGATCCACAGTGGGGTTCGACGGCGTCTAGGATGACTTGTCGCGAACGCGAAGGACACGATTACCAATCCCAGACTATGGATATCAGGCCAAGACGGGAGTTATGCAAGAATTAATAATTAAATGTTAAACGACCCAATAGTCCAACACATGCCACGCGCGTCGCGTTGAGCCGAGTTCCTTCCATTCGTATAAACAAACAGTAACTTCAGGAATGATGAACAGGTAGATAAATGCAAGATAGCCTCGCGCCTCGGCACAGACTAAGCAGTCTCATTTAGGGGTAGCACGGTTTAGCACCTCGAGTGGGAAGGGGCTAGAAAAGGTACTCTAAACAAATGCTGGATCACGTCATCTGCATGCTGACCATGTCTCGCAGATGTACAGGTAACGATCTAAACAATCAAACGAACAACAACCGTCGTTATCATCTCCCCAGTTTCCTTCCACAGGCCACTAGGGTGAAGTCGTCCACTTAGGCAGCCTGGAATGTTCTTTCCCGTTTCAGACTACCCACGGGGAATCGACCAAAAAGGACGGCACTGATCAGTCGAGAACTGGCGCACTACAAGGTGGACATCGTTGATCTCGGCGAGAGCCTATTCTCCGAACAAGGCCAGTCGAAGGTGGGTGCCGGCTACACCTTCTGGAGCGCCTGCACAAAGGCAGAACAACGTGATGCTAACGTCGTCCTCGCCATCCGGAGCTACTGCCTGTTAAATTTGTCTGGTCACTGCCATGACTTCAGCTACCAATTGGCCCAACATCTGGAAGACCTGCAGGCTCTGCACGACAACTTCACCGTGGAGACAGTAGTGGCAACTGTGGAAGGCTATCGACTCCGCTCCGCTGAAGTCCTCGGGCGCACATGTTGTCAACACCAGGACTGGTTCGACGAAGACGACGCGGACATCAGTAATCTACGTGCCAAGAAAAGTAGACTTCATAAAGTCTACATCAACTGGAAGCCCGCGTAAATAAAGCTGCCTTCTTTTACTGTCGACGCCCAGTACGACAGCGACTGCGCGAGATGCAAGACGCCGGGATGGTTTGCAAGACTGAGGAAATACAGTGTCACACGGACCGTAACGATATGAAGAATTTTTACGTCACCATCAAGGAATTCTACGATCTCCGCGCCAAAGAAACCGCGCCGCTGCTCGGCTCCGAGAGAACAACATTCCTCACGGAGAAGTCGCAGATGCTGAAGGGCTAGACTGAGCAATTCAGAACCTTAATTCGTCAACCGCCTCTATACAATCTCCGGTGCCACCATCGACCGACTGCATAGGCGGAAACCAATACCGACATGGAGCAATAGAGGCCATGGAACAGCCCTTGCGCAGGAAATCACCGGAATCCGACGCGATCTCGGCTGAAGTCAACAAGCACAGCGACTCCCGACTGATGGACAAATTTGCATCAATGTTCTAGATGTGGCGGCATGGACATGTCGCTCAGAACTTTAAGGCGCCCCTATTGTACACATCTACAAACGCAAGGACAACCGTCAACTCTGCGATACTCATCAAGGCGTTTCCCTCCTTAACAATGCAGAGAAAATCTTCGCCCGCGTTCTCCTCAATTGCCCGAACACGCACTTGGAAAATAGGCCTTTCTCGAGAAGCCAGTGTGGATTTCGAAGGGGCCGCATCACCATCATGATAGTCGCCGTACGCCAACTGCAAGAAAATGTCAGAAAATGCGGACAGGCCTCTACAGTACCTTCGTAGACCTGACGAAGGCCTTCGATACAATGAATCGTGGCAGGCTCTGGAAATCACATTGAAATTCGGATGTCGGGGACGATTCAAACGCACGGTAGGCCAACTACACGACGGAACGATGGCTCACGTTACGATCAATGGGGCAGTCTCGGAAGAATTCGCAATGATCGACGGAGTGGGGCAAAGTTATGTGCTCGCTCCACCCTCTAGCACCACGTTCTTAGCTAGTCTGGTGGATGCCTACCATGAGGGGCGACCAGGAATCAACACTGCCTACCGACTCGACGGACAACTGCTCAATGCACGGCGCATGCAAGTACGTTCACGAGTATCCCAGACTAGCATCCATGACCTACTGTTCGCGGGTGACCATGCACTCAGTACGACAGAAGTGACCACACAAAGGAGCACACACCTCGCTTCCGACTGTGCCAGCTTCAGATTGACCACCAACACGGAGACGACGACGGTTATGCTTCGGCCGACGCCAAACGCGGATTACAGTGACCACATATCAGCGTCAATGGAGGTTAGTTCACCACTGTGGGCAAATTCGCATACCTAGACGGCACAGTCTGACGGAATTCCAGGATCCACGACGAAATGGGCCCCGTGGCAGTCCGCGCCTCTTGGCTCGCCGCCGCTTTGTCACACTGTCCTCCTGTCCACCTCACACTCGCTGCCGATCCGCTGCTGGGGCGCCCGAGGCTTGTCACTGGCCTCGAGAGTGCCCGATGCCGACCAACGCTGCCCTCCCTCCGATTGGCTGGCGGACACTTAGTCAGATCGAAGGACGCACACACGCGTTGGGGTCTAGGCACCTCAACGGCGGACACAGACACAACTTCACCTGGAGAGACTGCTCGCGGCGACTGCTTGTAGAGCCTTTGCGTACGCACTTCCTCAGCAGTAAAGGTTGTCTGGCGCAACCTGTCTTCCCTGACTTCTGATTTGTGGGCCTTTGTCTGGTCGACCATACCATCCCGACGGCCCAATGAATCTCTAAAGTCAGCCACGCATCTGGCCAACCACAGGCCCGTCTTGAATCGACGAGGACTTTGCTTGAAAATCAAACTCATGATGTACATGGCGCAGTCCTGTTGACACTATGCTATGGACGGAGACAAGGACCGCCCACGTCAACCAAGCCAGGAAGCTGTACCATTTCCACTTCAGTGGTATCCGCAGAATACTAAGGCCGGGGTGGCAGGATAGGATTCTGGATTCGGAAGTCCTGGAAAGGATCTGACCCGTCGGCAACCACGCCAAGCTAAGATAACTGCAGCTGCGCTGGAGCAGACACCTCGCGAAGATGGACAGAGAGCACCTGGCCGAGCGACTCTTCCGTGGCAACGTCACTATGGATGCTCGCGACGTTATAAGGACGCCCTGCAGGCCTCCCTCAGTTACTTTCAAGTCAGTCCGGAGACCTGGGATGAACTCGCCCAAGATTGACCGGCCTAGAGAAGAGTAGTGAAGAGTGGAACAGTAATTCATGAGGTCGACTCTTCCTTAATATGCCCCCTAAAAGGGTTACCATGCATTTGAGATTAGAGCCGAGTATCCCCTTTAGGTGAAGGCCTGGCGTGTTGTGCGGGAGAACAGATTGTGTGTGGCACGCGCATACGGACTGTTTTAGCACTGTTAGCCATTTCCCCCCAATTTGCAAACTGGCCGGCTCGGATAATGCACTGGTGTTTGAGAGAGATTAGACAGTAGGACGGACTCTGGGGACTCCGTCTCCACAGCATTCAGCGCACATTCTTGGCAATAAACGATCCGAGGCACTTTTAAATTATTACGATGTGTTAACCGTCTCCCCGAAGGCTGCCAACCGATGGGATAACTCGGTCCTCCTCTCAGAACGGAGAGTCCGGCCGCAGGTGCTCCTTCTTCATTAGGACGGGCCATGGGTGGCAGGTGCAGATTCGCTGCTGAGCATTGTCAGCCAGTACGCCCGATCCCGCCCCGGTCTTCTTGACTCTCTCTTGACACCGGGTTTAGGTGGGTGAGGGAAAAGAGAGTTCGGTAAATTTAGTGTAAGTCCATTATCACTATAAACTGATTCACGTGCAAGTCTCCTTCCCTGCGCCCATTATGCTGTGGGGCGCACTGTGGAAATCGCCGTTCGCGACTATCAAGCTGCCATATCGTCTACAAAGCTTATAAGCTCACTCGTCTATTTTTTACCGAATTTTCTCGATATTCTACGCGGTTTGTCTTCTGTGCGTCTTTTGCCGTTCTTCGTTAAATATTTTATTGTGTTACAAGACAAGGATGGTCAAAAAAATAAAATATAGTCAGTTACACAGGTTACGCGCGTGCAGGCCACAGCAGAGTAAGGGATGAAGACAGCCTTCGCGCGCGAGTGCACGTAACACGGCGGTATAACATCAACAGGGTTGTGAAATTAGGGACACAGTACGCCTATCGCAAAAATGTTGACACAAAGGCACATCGACAGCCACCAGGGCGGCAAAGCACCTTTAAGGGTATAGTTTATAAGATTATTTTTATTTGATCAAGAGCAAACGTTCTCTTTCTTCGACGAATGGGTTTCACATATGGACAAATCTATAAATAGTATCCTAAACACCACCCGCATAAAACGAACGTCCAAGAACTCACGACCTGGATAAACTCCCTCAAGGGCAGTCTAATGTTCAAGATTTAGATAGACATGAACCACAGAAATCAGCTCTTTGGCTAATCGATTGAAATCAGCAAAAACTGAAAGGCACTCGCCCCATTGCAATAACGCCCTAAAACTCAATGAATCCCAGCGTCGCCAGTAAGCAAAAAGTATTTTGCGGAGGAATTCTCGTAATGCACAGTAGTACGCTCACGTTTGTTGCCCTCAATTATTTCTCAAAATTATCAAGAAAAGACGTAACCCGCGGTAAGGAGCCACACCTTAGGCTGCTTAAAACGTCCAACACAAGTCCAGTGTGGCAAAGTAATCTTAAGTAGTTGCTGTGCCCTTTTGACGTTTTCTGTCAAGACGTTTGATACTTTGGGAGCCACAAAACTCCTTTTGGGATAAATCACAGTATAACAAACCTCCCACGTCAAGCCACAGACCGTAGCGTATGATAAAAAGTTATTTGGGGCTAGATTTTTGGACAATTATGACCGATGTCCGGAAACCTCCAGGAGATGGCTTTTCTCATTTTTTCATAATTATCGGAATCAAAGAATGCACGCCTCAAGACAATGATGGGTCGACGGTGGTGGCGGCAAACCAGTATCTCAGCATCCTCGTAGACATACACCCTGTACGTTAACTTGAGGCTTCGGTCTTTCAATAGGTGAAAACGAAACGAAGACTCAAGCGTCATGGTTGTACTCGACAGGACCCGACAGACAATTACTTTGTTTTTAACATTAGGGTGGGAGCACCCCCACCCTAGGGATACTATCCTTTGATATTTATCCATCTTAATTTCCATTGATGGACCTCTTGTGGCCAGTGTCACGCCACCTTCGCAAGTTTCACAGACCTGAAGGTAATTTGTTCTCACTTTGCACATCAGCATCCGAAATCGTTCACTGTCTCCACATAATCGAGTGTACGAAACGTACATGAGCGTGGCTCGGAAATTCTTAGTCTTATTTCACGGGACGCCTGTCACACAAGTTACTAGGAAGATTAACGAACAAGAAGGACGTATTCACCTTGCCACAAAATAGCAGACAACTTACAGTAGAACTAGAGTGACGGATGTCACGACAGTCATTTCTAGGACAGGTAGAGGGGGACGCTCACCGATCGTGTCTACGTAACTCACCCATCCCGTTGTGCCTTAGGGCTCTCTCGCAAGTCCAACCAGCAGCCACACAGCGGCGCATGATATAGGCAGAACTGTATTACCGACAAAGAAAAGGAAGACCGGAATGGCCATTTCTGGCTTATAAGCCGTCGTCAGCAGTAGAAACGATCGTGAGCGCCCTTCTCTACCATTGTATATTCCCGATCGCAATCGACGGGACAACAGGCTCGTGGCCCAGTGGCTAGAGGTGTTGAACTTCTAACAGGTCGCGAGTTCGAGTCTCGGGTGTTCCACACTTCTGGGTTGGGTATGACTGGCTGACGACGGCTAATAAGCCAGAAAGGACCATTCTTGTCTCCCTCGTCTTTGTCGGCAATACCATTCCTAGGACTCTGCTCACAAGCCGTACACAGGCAATGCATAGTCGTCGATTTCGTTCGGGAGCTCGTCATCACTTGAGGCTTCGTCACTTCGTAGGGATTTTAACACCGCTAGAATTTCAATATAATGGCGATGAATACTTACGGTCGTATGAAAGGACTATAGGAAACCAATCGCCGGACGCCTTAGACAAAGCCTTTAAGTGTCCCCTCCAGCAAAATCGGCCAACCAACGAGGCAATCAGGGTGTGTCCTGAGTTAAACACGCCAATGGGTGATGTCGTCCTCCAGTACGCGTTTGCACTTAACTATGGAAATAACCAAATGTCTCAGGATAGC